GTTGATTCCTAGTTCCCACATTGAAGCAACAATGGGGTGGGATCAGAAGTAACTCTATGAAGAGTTGATTGTGTTTATGTTTTTAAAACCCTCATCCCAGTCTTTAGAGATCAGAAATCTGTCAAGTCTGGTTGCAAAGTTGTGTCTATCTCCTTTTCTCCAAGTGAATCTGCCTCCTAACAGTTGTAAGTCCACTAAACCCATGTCTTCAATGAATTCAGAGAAATCAGTCATTGCTCTAGTGAATCTGTTGCAATTTTTCTTTTCGGAGGGAAATCTAACTGTATTAAAATCTCCACATACAATCCAGGGGCCATTGAATAATCCCCTAGCTGCGCCAACTTCCCACCAAACCTCTTCTCTTTCTTCTCTATCGTTTGGAGCATAAATACTAGTTAAATGCCAGGTGAAATCCTGGGTTTTTCCAGTGAATTTACATGAAATAGAGTACGATGCCAAGCTACTTATTTCACCATCCCAAATCCTACTGTCCCACATAAGCAGAATGCCTCCTCTGGTTCCGCTGGCTTCCAGCTGTGCAAATTTCCCCCATTTGTTTGCCCATAGATCTTTAACAATTCTTGTGATATCACCTTCCAATTTGGATTCTTGAAAGCAATACACATCAGCTTTCCAGGTATTGATACAACTCTTGATCTTTTCCCTCTTCCTTGGCCTGTTGAGCCCTCTTACATTCCATGATATGACGTTGACTTTCATTGATCTTTGATGATAAGGTAACCTCCCTTGCTTCTGGTGCCATTGCTTTGAAAATTGCTCCCTATATCCAGACTTTTAAACTCTTTGAAACCCTTAGTTTTGGGAGTTGTTGCCGCTGCCAATTCTGCTTCTCCCTTGTTTGCTTGCCTCTTGTGATCAATCTTCATGAATAGCTGCAGAGCCTCCTTCTCACAGTCTTGAAAATCTAATCCAAACTTTTTGCTTAGCTTGATGATGTTTTGGTGAATCCAGATTGGAGTGTCGAAATCTGGGTCCTTCTCATCTTCTCTGCTTTGCATATTCAGTGGTTCTGCCTCTTCAATTGTCCAATTTGCATCTTCACTTGCTTCAATAATCTGCATGTTGTTAGTTGCTTGCAGTTCTGTTGAGGAATTTTCTATCTCCTTGGTGACAGACATGGTATCTTCTGCGTTGCTTGGGTTAAATTGGGCTTCTGTGCTTCTCTCTTCTTCAGATGTTGTGTTTGTGTCCTCCAAGTTTGGCTTTATTTCGTGGGTTGTAGCATGCAGGATAAGTGAAGAAGATGGAGAGATTGCGTCTATTTCTACAAATAGTGGATCGGGTCTGAGATCTGTAGAAATCCCTTTTAACAGCTTGGCCTCCAGAAGACTTTGGGCCAAAGGATCTGGGTTCAAAGGTTTTTTAGAATTTTCCTTAGGGCTTGTATTTAAAGGGTCACTTAAGAGTCTTGCCTTCTCACGTGACAGCACACGCGAGTCTTTTAAAACTATAGACGTAGGTTGTACTTCCTTAGAACAACCCACGTTCCCTGTCCCATCACTAAGATCTTGAGCCCCTCCCCCTGCTGCCATAGATTGCTTTGTTATCTACTGGTTAAAGACCTTCATGTTGCCACCTATGTTGCTCGGACTCTCCAAAAATGGTGCCAGATACATGTCGGATCCTCCAAAAATAGTGTATTTTTGGAGGATCCGACACGGGTGCGGCATCATTTTGGAGAGTCCGCGCAACATAGGTTGTCACTGCCGGAGCTGAATCTTACCCGTGCTTCACACCATATTTGAATCGTAAAGATGATCCCTTCGCTCTCCACATCAACCACCTTTGGGACTAAATCTCTGTTCCCTTTCACCTTCAGTCTCGCCCATTTGAGGTGATTTCTGAGTTCTTGTCTCTTCTTCAGTTTGAACCCAACCTCCACAATAATTGCCCACTTCTTTGAACACTTTCTGGGACCATAGGTGTAGAGGGAGTCCAACTAGTCTGATCCAAACTTGATCAAGGTCCTGGGTTTTTGTGATAGAGATTGCTATCGGTGACCACCATTGAAGAGAAAATTTGTGATGTTTCCCGTGCCAGACCCCTTTGAGGACGTGTTCTGTAGTTTTCTTCGACGAGAATTCAAAAAGGAAACGATTTTGACCCATCTCATAGATGTTGACTCTGTGTGCCTGCTTTCATGTGCTGCTAGCCCATCGACGAATATCTAAGAGAGTGGGAATGTCAGAGATTTCCACTGGAAGGCAACCTACCACACTCCTGGAGAGGAGTTCGTTTTGGGAATAGTTGGGTTCACCTGAGATGCTGATGATACCATCTTTTTCCTGAACAAAGGCCTCATTTATTTCTCTAGTAGTCCATTTATTTCTCCTGATTGTTTCTGAGTAGGTAAGAAGATCTTCTGTATTTCTGGATGTAAATGTAACTGCCTTCTGGGCCTTGCATTTAATGAAATTTGAGATCTTAACTGCAATGTCTGTCCAACCTGTATTAAATGCCATTTCTGGGATAATAATTGTTAATTTTCTTTTGTTTTTAGCCTTCCCTTGCAAGCTAATGATACTAATATATCGTCCATGCTTGTTGTAGTGCCTCGAGCAAAAGAATTGTGTAAAGTGGTCTTGAAACTTCCATCTTCTAACTGAGTTTCCCTTCACTTTTGATGCTTCACTAATGGCATAGGATAGCCATTCCATCGTCTTTTGACTGAAAAATGTTCTTCTGATCAAGTTGTGCCCTCGCTCTATCCAATTATACCAAGTCTCTGCTCTTGATTCATCCCTTGCAATGTCATAAGATTTAAAACCCACCCTAAAATAGATTGTGTTATCATCCATCATAACTGAAAGGAAGTGTCTGCTATAGTAGCCGGAAAGACTTTCGGGAACAAATGGCCGGAAAAAAACTTCCCGACGCCGGAGAAAAGTAAAGGTGATCAGAATCTAGAACTACCAGGATGGGTTGGGTCGGAATAGGGTGCTAGAGATGCTGTCCTGAAGAAAAAAGTTGAAAAGATGTCCGGAGAAGTCTCACGCGTGGTGGAGTGCTCGCCGGCGCTTGGCCGCGCGTGGGAGATCTGATGGCGAAGCTGTCTGCAGGGGTCGCCTCACGTCAGTAGTGGCTCTCCGATGGTGTTTGTATGAACTCAAAATTCGAGGTTCACAGGCTCCTCGGGGAGTGTGCCTGAGAGCAAAGTCTTTAGGCCACACAGTTATTTAAACTTAAAGGTGCTATTTTGACACAAGACAATCTTTGTAGGAGGAGCTTCCAGATTGTTAATAGATGCCACATGTGCAAGCTAAACTTGAAATCAATCAATCACCTATTTTTGCATTGCACAGTGACTATTGATCTCTGGCAATGTTCTTCTCAATTTTTGGTATCAGCTGGACACTACCCCAGAACATTAAGGAAGCAGTTGAAAGCTGGAGCTTTTGGAAAGTCAGCAAGGCCATCAAAAGTATCCGGAAAATGGTCCCAGGGTGCATATTTTGGTGTCTTTGGACAGGAAGGAATCGAAGATATTTTGATGGCATTTCAACTCCTATTCACTTTTTGAAAGCTAGATGTCTGGTGTATCTTTTTAGTTGGAGTAATATCTCCCCTGTAAATAATGTTATTCCCTTTCTAGACTTTATTGGCTCAATGAGCCTAGCCTGATGGCCCATTTTTTTGGTTAGCTCCCTATGATTAGAATAGCACATGATGTACTGGAGCTAACATCTCTTCTTTTGTACTAACTGCATCTTCTTGATGCCAACAATACAACACCTTCATCAAAAACAAAAAAAAAACAAAAAAAAAGGGACCATGACATTCTACATCTAGAGAAAAGTTGTTTCAGATAAAGAGGAAAGCACAATAAAGTAGCATAAGAGTTCCCCTTGAAATATGTGGGATTAGTTGACAAGGCATTTAGGTAGCAGTTCAAAATTCCACAATAATTGCTGAAAGAAAGGAAAGGAGATTTAAGCCGACTTCTCTAGATAAGGCTAAGGCACAAAAGAGAGCACCAGATCCAAACATCACAGAGAACTTTCTTCAAACACATTTTTTTTTTTGGTGATAAAGTTCTTCAAACACGTTATATGCATAAGAGTTATCAACATAGGATCACTCAATTGCAAACTCCAAAAACACGTACATATAAGTAGCAACAGTATTTTCATCAAAAACTAGGAACTTAATAATAAAAGATAGATAGTCCCACACTTTCCTGTGTGATTGACCTGTGTACTTTGTAACTCAAGTCATATTTGATGAATATGATTTCTTCCAAATATTTAAGGGTGAATGCATCAGGTCATTTTATGCACTTTATGAACCATTACCGTCTGGTTAAAATTTTATAGTTAAGCGTTGAAGGTTAAAAAGATTGTCATGGTACGTATATTGAACTCAAATTTTACTTGTTCTTTAACTGATGATAATAGTTTGTACTTGCTTTGATCTTATTATGAAGTCAGTTTTTTGTCTACAGTCTATTCTTGATATCTTTAAACTTATTTAAAAAATCAAACTTTCCTATTCTAAATCAGTCTCCTCTCAAATCAAAAATAAAATCAAACTTGTCAAGCTGAGGTCCAATTCTGCTTCCATAAGCATAAAACTTCAGTACACATAAGCGGAGCTAGTGCTTTGATAACAGGTTTGGCCAAAGCCAGCAGCTTTGGTTTGAGCTTTGGTTCAAACCCTGTATTGTCTTAAAGTATAGATTGAATATGTACAATTTATTACTTAGAACCCAGTAAGTTAGAAACGACTAGAATCCCGAACCCATAAGCTTCGAATCCTGGCTCTACCTCTAGCACGAGCAGAAACAACGTGAAACTACGCAAGTGAAGCAGAGGAAAAAGGGGGGGAAAAGAAATGCACCCATGAACCAAACCCAAAAACAAAACAAAAAATTAAAACAGAGAAAATGGAAGAAGATGATAAATAATATGCACTCTCTCGCTATAAATTATGCTCATAACTCAAAACTATAAATAATTACAATAGATTGGTTAAACAATTACCTAAAATCAGAAAATTTTGGAGGGGAATCTGATAAGCGCAATCCAACTTTAAGGGCTTTTTTCTCAGACGATGAGCGCAACACTTTTACCAAATAAGCAATATTCTGATCCTTTCGCCGTCAAAATTGGCGAACAAAGTCGGAAGAGGTTCTGATGGACGAAAGAAGGAACTATGTTGTGTCTTGTTTGGTTACGAATTTTTAATAAACTAGGTGTACCCTCTGTCAACGAGTAAAAACTTATTTAAAATTTATCTTTGAGTTAGCAAATAAAAGTATAAGTTCCTCCTCTGTCAATGAGTAAAAACTTATTTAAAATTTATCTTTGAGTTAGCAAATAAAAGTATAAGTTCCTCCTCTGTCAATGAGTAAAAACTTATTTAAAATTTATCTTTGAGTTAGCAAATAAAAGTATAAGTTCCTGAATGTTGATTGTGTATAATTAACTCTATAATAAAATAATTATTCAACATAAATACTTAATTATCAGTCAATAATTCAACTTAAAAATTATTTCAATGACTGAAATTAGAATTCTGTATCTGGTTTTGCAGTATCAGTATTCAAGTGATATGAGTAATTCAATAGTATTAGCTAATGCCAAATTTTAAATATTTAACTGTAGTTATATTCTTATTCAATAGGATTTTTTTTCAAATAATAAAAAATCAATTAGGTAAAAAAGTCATCCATGAATGACATGTTCCCAGAAAGAAAAAACAAATAAAAATACTTTGTATATCTCAATCATTATATACAATAAATAAATTCTAAATCAAATGCAAAGCCATAATTGTAGTCAAGAAACCTACTTATATTCATCTAAATTTAATGTTAAAAATGTTAAGATATCTCATAAATTATCTTATTGGAATAACTGATAATTGTTTCATATAAATCTGAACGTACAAAGTTTATAAAAAGACTTTAACACCTATTTATTATTCAAAACCTCATACTTCCTCTTTCTTTGATCTTTTTCATTATTCCCTTTATTTATTTTGTTTATCATTTATATACAGTTAAATGCAAGATTTTGATAAGGTAAAATTTTAATAATTTTAAGGTTCTAAATATAAGGACTTTCAATATAGTTCAAATAAAAAAAGATTTAATATGTAAAATTTAGTCTATATTAATTAAAATAATAATTAAATTACTATTTTTCTAAGTGCAAACTATATTTTTAAAAGGTAAAAAGGCTAAGAACATTTCTCTATAGGACTTTGTGCTTTTAATATAATATACATTATTTGATAATAACTATTTAAAAATAATATTCAAAGTTGTATTTGTATTTTAAATTTAAAATTAACAGACAATTATATGCTCCTAAAAATGATAAATACTAATCATAGATAGGGATTTGTACCTATTTTAGAAAGAGGATCAACTAACTGGCAAAAGACGTCTTCTTTTATTTTTCTCGCAAAGAAAATGCAAATTGTTCAATTTCTTTTATCAATAAAAAATAATATAAAAATTATTTTCAACAGATTAGAAAAATCACTATTTCTTCGTCTCGGAGAAAGCTTTCTTTTCTCTGCCCAATTATATATTAATGTATTTATTTGGATGCATTCAAATGTTGTCCTTTCACGGCGTAAGAATCAATAATTAAAATTGAATTACTTGCAGTTGACGGGCTCTGAAAAGACTATGTTAATAATATCATAGAAGGAGTAAAAATATGAAATTTATATTAAAATCAGAATTACAATTTATTCTTTCAACCAAATCTCATGAATATAGATTTTAGTTTTGTTATGTCTGTATAATCAGTTCTCATTTAAATTTGGATTAAAAGTAAGTATTATTTAATTAAAATAATATTTTAATTTTTATATTATTTAAAAAAATATTATGAAAAATAATTTACAAGAAAAGCTTTACATGTTTGTTTTCTAAAAATATTTTGTATGAACTTTTTATTTTACTTTATTGATATGTATTAGTATGTCTAACCAATTTCCTGTTAGGGAATGCAAATGATCTAAATAACCTGTATAAAATTTGTAAAAGTGTCAGTTTAAACTAATAATCATACATGAGATATCGTAAAAAAAATCATAACTGACATCCTTTTAATTTTCAATTGTCTATCAAAAATTCACGTTATTAATTTGCTTATACTTTATTTAAACATAAAAAATATTTCTAACGTTACCTGCATATCAATAGTATATGTTTTTTGTAATATAAAATTATAATATAAACATAATACATCAAATAAATCAATATGGTCGTAGTCACCAAAGTACATTATAACTCTATATTTTTAAGAAGTGGCATATAAGATAAAAGAACTATATCGAAAACAGGAACAAACAAATAATTGGAAAAAGTAATTTCTTTCTCCTACCAGAAAAAGAAAAAGACGAGCATTCATAGATTGTGATTTAAAGTTTACAAATATGACGTCTTCATGTTCATGCTATATAATTTTTGAAAGATCATGACTCAAATTTAATGATATAACTAACTATGATTATTTATGGCAAAAAAATAACATAATATGCATATATCTTGTATTTAAATAGCTATATGGCAAAAATCTTTTCATGCTAAAATAGGGGGGGGGGGGGGGAGGTGAGGACTCCTAAATCTTACAAAACGTTGTAAGTGGGCGAATGTTAACAAAAAGGAATGCGTAAATAGGTTAAACTATTAGGGAAAAAAGGACTTCAAAACCTAAAAATGATGGAAAGAAATCCTAAATATTAGGGAAGTAATTGATTATTTATTCCTAAATATAGGAAAAACAATTCAATTTTTATTCTCAAATATTATGAAATATTAAATGATTATTTTGTCTAATGTGAAATCAAATTTCAAAGGGTAAAAAAGGCGAACGACATTTCGCTAAGGGTCTCCGTGCTTTTAATATAACAAGCAACTTGAGTTGGCATAGCAATATGTATTTATCTATATTATATTAAAAGGAGAGTAGTTTGCAATGTGGTTAAGCCAAGTGGCAAGCTAAAATGAAGTCACTTGGCAATTTTAAGACAACATAAGAAATTTGGATTATAAATGGAAAAATATTTAATGAGAGTAGTAGTCCAAGATTTTCTGTAAATTGAATTTCATTCTTTAATTAATCAAAGCTAATTATTTTAACATTTAAACAAAAAATGTTCTCTTTTTCAGAATCTGTTAGACGTACACAAAGAGGGATGCAACTTTCATTAAGCAAACAAATATATTATAGCTATAGGTATCTTTACTTAAATTTGTGTATAATTCAGTTATACTTAGGCCAAGTGGCAAACTAATAAATGTCAATAGTATATGGTAACTTTATTCTATATTTGACTATGTTAGTCAAATATATATATATATATGGATAATTTTGAATTTATATATAGAAAGTTTTTAAATTTGAATTAGAATAAAAAAAGTTATCTTTTGTTACCATGTTATCATACTTAATTCGGTTAGTGATCATCTATATATATATTAAAGCTATAACGTTGCCACATGTAATTGACTTTGTGGTTAAGCCAAGTGGCAAACTAATAAATGTCAATAGTATATGGTAATTTTATTCTGTATTTGACTATGTTAATCAATATATATATATATGGATAATTTTGAATTAATATATATAAAGTTTTTAAATTTGAATTAAAATAAAAAAATATCTTTCGTTACAATGTTATCATACTTAATTCGGTTAGTGATCATATGCAATTATATTAGGAACTTTTGTTATCTTAATTCAAATTATGTAAATACTACTTCGCCTCTGGCCAAAAAAAATATACTCCATATAACTATAAACTCTTTTACATTTAAAATCCAATAATTATAGTTCTTTAAAACATTATAGCTAGATTTGAATAAGCGAATTTCTTTTATAATAAATGTAATATATAGGGTACACGTCTATATTTATCCAGATAACAAAAAAAAGTTTAAAAGTTGATAAAAATTTACTTGCATATATAATGAAGTAAACCTACTGTGAGCACGTGATTTTTGCCCTATATGAGAATCACTCCCAAAAAATTCAAAATAAAACAATTTTCCTTTATGTGCAATTTTTTGTATTTTTGTGGTATTTTTGTATAATTATTTGTATTTTTGTCTGTGCATGTTTATTTTTTTTAAATTAATAAAAATATAAAATATGTCGCATTTTCATTTAGTATTTATTTAAGTTTGTTTTACAAAATGAGAAAATCATAAAAAATAATGTACGTTGCATTTTTAGCATTTAACGTCTAAATTGTGCGATTTTATCGTTAATTGCTATTTAAATGTGCGATAATTATTTTTAGAGTTAATTAGTTTTTTTTATAAGATAATTTAGTTTGTAATTTAATTTAGAATTTTAGTTTTATTGATTAGGAAGTAAAAGAAAAGAGAGCAAAAAATACAAAGAAAAATCGGATTGGGCCACTTCTTCAAATTTCAACCCCAGGCCCAAAAAATACCTAACATTCCCCATGACCAAGTCCATTTTAAACCGGGTCGACCCAGTTCATAACCCAAATACCCAACATCCCCCTATCCTACACAAAACAAAACAAAAAAATCCCAAAAAACCCTAACATTCTTTTCTTTCACTGTTGAATGCCCGCCCCCCTCTCTTTCGTTTCTTCTTCCTCAAGCTCCAAGCAAGCCAT